TCTCTAGCTGTACTGATCTATATCTTGACCAAATGGCTGGAGAGGAGACTGGACCCAGATGGCTCCAGAGGAGAGAGTGAGCCTGGTGACTTAGCTCTCCCTCACTTAAATCCAATTCACCTGCATGTCATGGCATCACCTCCCTGATGTCATGGTCCTCTTCAAGACCAAAGGACCAACACTATCACTACCGCCACCACCAAGTCCTCAGCCATTCCAGCTCAAGTGATCTCTCCACTCTCTGACCTTTAGCACTTACCATCCAGACCCCTGTTTTGGCACCAGATACTCACTGCTTTGTATTGTTACCTCTTCTTTAGGTGCATATCTTGTTTCTCCAACTAAGTTGTAAGCTTCTCAAGGGCAGGGACAGGATCTATTCCTCTTCACATTCCACCCGCACCCCTTACCCTGTTGCCCTCTTGAATACAGGGCTGACTACAGAATAGTCACTGAGAATGTTTGTTGATCGACTTGCTTAGATTACTTAATCAGGCCCCAACACAGTATCAAGTCACTGGCTGTAAAATAAACACTAGGGAACAGCAGAATGATCTCATAACAGAACAGGGGGCTGCTAAGTCACTCATGCCTAACTGAAGGCAATTTTGTTATGGGTGAAGTACCAAATTATACGCCAGGCAAATCTCGGCTCAAATAATGAAACCAAATACATCCTCATTAACTTCTTGAAGGAGGCCCATGGAGCTATAGAAAGAAATAAAAACACAAAAGAGGCCCTATCTTGTTGTTCCAGAAAAGGAAACACAGAAAGGTCAGAGGTAGGTTACTTGAAAGAACAAACTGATAAAATCGCAAGCCTTTTGCCGAGGCCTGCTCTTGAGGAGGCTCTAAAAACACTTCCTTCCGAGTGTTGGTTTTTGTTCTTTTGTCTTTGGGTTCTGGGGGAGGTTGGGTCACAGAGGAGGCTTGGGCTCTGGGGGAGCCTGAGGCCCTGGGGAAGCCTGCCTGGAGCTGGAGCCCAAACCAGGGCTACTGTTTGTGGCCAAGGTAGCGATTTGTGGGGGGAGACAGGAGGTTTGAATATGTTGGGGGAAGTGACATCCTGTCCTCCCTTTGAGATGCCTTTGGGTGAAGTATTTGCCAAAACAGAGAGAGAGAGACAGACAGACAGACAGAGAGAGACAGACAGACAGAGAGAGACAGAGAGAGACAGAGAAGACACCCACACATGGGGATATATATATATAGAGAGAGAGAGAGACAGAGAGACAGAGAGACAGAAAGACAGAGACAGAGAGAGACAGAGACAGAGAGAGACAGAGACAAAGAGAAAGAGACAGAGAGAAAGAGAAAGAGAAGGGGAGAGAGAGACACAGAGAGAGAGACACCCACACATAGGAATATATATATATATACAGAGAGAGACAGAGAGAAAGATAGAGAGGGAGGGAGAGAGACAGAGAAAGACAGAGAAAGACACAGAGACACAGAGACACACAGAGACAGACAGAGAGAGACAGAGAAAGAGACAGAGAGACAGAGAGACACTCACACAAGGGGATATACACACACACACACACATATCGAGAGAGAGAATGAGAGAGACAGAGAAACAGAGAGACAGAAACAGAGACAGAGAGAGAGAAAAAAGAGAGAGACAGAGACACAGAGACAGCGACACAGAGAGAGAGACAGAGAGACACCCACACATGGGGATATATATATATATATATATATATATATATATATATATATATATGCAGAGAGAGAGAATGAGAGATTGTTTGCAATGGGTCAGGTGAGGAGTGATGTGCACCTGCATGGGGGTGGTGGCTGTGTGAGTGGAGAGAAGGGGATGTATTGAAGGATGTTATCAAGATTAAAAATAAGAAGATTTGACAGTAGATCAGCTATGTGGGGATGAGTGTAGTGAGGATTCCAAGATGGCTCTGTGGTTGTAAGCCTGGGATCCTGAGAAGATGGACTGGAGTGTTTTCTCTAGTAACAGGAAAGTTGAGAAGAGTGGAGGGTTTGGCGAGGTGAATGTACTTGGTTCTGAACATGTTGAATTTGAAATTTCTTGCTGAGGATTACATGATGAGTATGAATCACAGGCAGAACTTGTATCCAGGTCTTCCCAATGCTAACTCTAGCTATTTTTGCACTACATAATTCTGTCTCTTAGACTAAACATATTATTATATATGTATTATTTTATATTATAATAACGGAGACAAGACAACCTGAGTTCAAATCAGGTCTCAGACACTTGCTGTGTGACCTTGGGCAAGTCACTTAACTTCTGTTTGCCTTAATCCACTAGAGAAGGAAATGGCAAACCACTCCTGTATCTTTGCCAAGAAAACCCTGTGGACAGTGTTGGTGTGCTATGGTCCAGGGGTCCACTCCTGATCACATAGCACGTCAATACTGTCCATGATGAAGAGTGGACCCACAGACCATAGCATGCCAATACTGTCCATGGGGTCACAAAGAGTTGGATATGACTGAATGATTGAACAACAACATTATATATTATGATAATATGCTAATACATGTAATTATTATATTATTATGTCAATATTACATATATAATAAATATCAATTATTATTTTTAAGACATAAGCAGCTTATGGGCAATCAGGAAAGGCCTTACATTTAAACTGTTTCCCAGAGCTTCCTGTAATGCTCTCCACACAGTAGGTACTTAACATATAAGTGTTCATAAGATCATGTCATAGCATAGGTTTCTAGCTGGAAGGGACCTTGGAAGTCATTGAGTGGGGTCATCAGAGGTCATCTCATTTTACATATGAGAAAACTGAGGTTCAGCAGGATGGTGGTAGTGGTGGTAAAGTGACTTGCTCAAGATTGTACGTGGAGAAAATGTCAAAGGCAAGATTTGAACTCAGATCCTTTGACTACAAATTTAGTGCTTTTTCCATAACATTGTGAACTGAATGGAATTGATTATCTCCAGAAGGCTGAGACAGTATAACAGACTGTGTTAATCTTTTCCCAGAGGATTTTCATTTGCAAAGAACAGCTGGGGAAGAGTACAGCCCTAAACCACAGGAATGAATCACCAACGGTGGAATTTCAGGCATTGTGAGGGGCCAGGGTAGGATGAATTTGTCTGGGGGAGGGTGGGGTGCCACACCTTAAGTAACCCTTGTGTCATTCCTTAGGGGAGAGAGTTGTTTGTTATTCAGTTGTGTTTGACTCTTTGTGACCCCATTTGGGGTTTTCTTCGCAAGAATACTGGAATGGTTCACCATTTCCTTCTTCAGTTCATTTTACAGATGAGGAAACTGAGGCAAACAGGGTTAAGTGACTTGCCCAGGGTCACAGAGCTAGTAGGTGTCTGAGGCTGGATTTGAACTCAGGAAGATGAGTCTTCCTGACTCTAGGCCCAGGGCTTTATCCCCAGAACCACCCAGCTGCCCTAAGGGTTATTAGTGCCACCACTTAGGACTAGAAGCAGGCAGCCACTCGCATCTGCATGGCTGAGAATCAGGAATTCCAGCCTTTGCTTCATTTGGCCAAGGCCCCAAATTATTGATGATTGTAGGCTCTGTGTTTTTCTCCCTGCTCCCTTCTTCTGCTATTTAGTTAATAATAATGTTTCATGTTCTGTTCAGATGCATATCAGTTTTGTGTGATTATTCATGGAGAAAGAGACAGATGATTCCCTGCCTGTACCATTTCAGCGAGAATCCATACCTATCGGTTAGCATCACTCTCTTTCCCAGCCTAATAACACTGTCCGCTTTAGATCGTAGGTCCTCGATTTATTAGGTAATTTGTTTCTTCTTTGTGGCGCCTGCCCGCTTGTCATCAATATAACAGAATGACGGAAGCACAAGCTATAGACACCAGGCATTACAAACTAGGCAAATAGAACCCATTTCGACCAGAGGTCCAGCCACGGCAGACCCGTAGCAATTCCCTGCCCTCATCTGGGGAGAAAGAAGAAAGATTACGGACAGGCACCGAGGACCAGGCTGCCCTGTGGGAGGGCCCCTTGCCATTTTGGGTGGTTGCTTTGTTCAATGGATGGATTCTCAGAAACAAAAAGTCACTTCTCTTAACGTCTCTGCCAGGGGAGCCCAAATGTGGCTCTCCACATGTCAGACTGAAGTCTGGGCTATATGAAATTTGGATCATAGAATGGAGACCTTAGAACTCAACCCCTTTTTCTAGATGACCGATGGGATCCCAGGTGGAGAACTGGAAGATGCCTTAGAGGTTATCTTATCCAACTCCTTCTTTTTACAAATGGGGAAACTGAGGTAGAGAAAGATTAATTGACTTGCCTAGAGTCATACAAGGTATCAAAGTATCATAAATTCATGGCAGGAAAGAACTTTAGAGGTCATCGAGTCCAGCTCCCTCATTTTACAGAGGAAGTGAAGTGAGGTTAAGTGACTTGGCTAGGGTAATATAGCTTGTAAGTGTCTAAGGTAGGGTCAGTGTGAGGGACTACCGGAGCCAAATTTTGAACTCAGGTCCTCTGACTCCAAATCCTGGGTTCTTTCTACTATGCCATACTTCTTGGACAAGTCATTTGAATCTTTTTCATATAACCCTGAAGCAATCAGGGTTAAGTGACTTACACAGGGTCACCCAGCTAATGGTTATCATGTGTCTGAGGCCATATTTGAACTCAGGCCCTCCTGACTCCAGAGCCGGTGCTTTATCCACTGTGCCACCTAGCTGCCCTTCTTTTACCTTTTAGAAAAGGAGTGGATGTTATACACCATGGAAAGATAGACCTTGATTTATGCCGTTGCTGTGCTCCTGAATCAACTGTGTGCAAAACAAATTTGTGCAAATAGTCTTATTTTTAAACAGTGCTAGGGAGCAAGCTATTGAATGAAGCCCTACAGAGAATTCTTTTGTTTAAGTGAAGGAACCTTGTATGATGAGAATGACCCGATCTGGCTAATGCTATTGACTTGGAGTTCACCTACTTTCTAGCCTGGTCCCAACACGAATGGCTCCCAGGCCACCCCCAGGACTTTGCCAAGACTCACCTTATTCCAACCTCAGGGTAAAGGCAGAGAGCCTCGGGTGAAACAATGATTTGTCCTCCAAAGGCTTGTTTTGTATTTTCATTACCATCTGCTTGGGTTTCAGCCTCTAGATAGGTTAAGAAGAAATCCCAAAGCTGTAAAACACATCATAGTCCTCCCACACCTTCCACTTAATTATTGTTTTCCCATGTGCCCAGCCAACATGCCCACAGCACACAACTGGCCCAGATCTGCCGTTCTCTCTGTGTTCTCCCCAACTAGGTGTCTGATGTAGACTGAGAGAGGAGCTGGTCTCTGCAGTCTGACATCCCTTCAGGTTCCAGTTAATTACTGGGCACTCCCTTCTTTTCTCTTTATTTTTAAACACACACCCACACAGACATGCATACATACATGCACACACACACGCTCAGCTCGTAGATACTACACTCAATCATAGGAACACAGAGACTTACTTCCATGCATATAAACACATATGAAGACACTTGCTCATACAAGCAAAAAAAGATTTTAAACACTGGTTGGCTCAAGGCCTGGGAAGCAGATATGTAGTGTTAGGCATGTGCAAGTTTAGCTGAAGTATAGGAAGACTGGTTCAGAGGGGAAAAATTACAGCAATCATCACTTTATTTCCACCTTTTATTTCTGTTGCTGAAATGAAGGTGAAAGAATCAAAGCACAGCCTTTTGTCCCAGCAAAATCTTCCCTTTCCAGTTTTCCCAATAGAATTATAAGATTATAGATTGAGATATGGATAGGACCTTCAAGGTCATGTAGCTTGGCCTAATTTTACAGTTAGGAAAACTAAGGCCTAGAGAAATTAGATAGCTAGTCCAAGGTTGCACAGGTAATATCAGAGGTGGAATTTGGACCCAGATACTCTTTGGAATGACTTTGGAGTCAGGTACTCAGACTCCAAATCCAGCATCAATTAAAATGTCAGTTGGTCAAAAAGCATTTATTAAGCACCTAGTACATGCAAGGCACTATGCTAAGCCCTTGGGGATACAAAGAATGGCAAAAACAAAAATCAAAATCAAAACAAACAAGTGAAAAAAAAACAGGCCTGATCTCAAGGATCTCCTCCCAGTTTTCCCAGGGGGAGACAAAATGAAAACAATTATGTACAAAGAAGATCTATCCAGGACAAATTGGAGATAATCGCAGAGGGAAGACAGCAAGTTTAAAAAGAACTAGGAAAAATTTCTTGTAGAAGATGAGATTTTAGCTGAGTGTTAAACGAAGCCAAAAGATAGAGTCAAAAAGAGAGAACATTCTAGGCATGGGGGATAGGCAGTGAAAATTACCAGAGTCAGTCAATGGCGCGTCCGAAGAATAGCAAAGAAGTCAATGTCACTGGATCTGAGGGCAGCAGGGGATGAGTAAGTGTATAAAGACTGGAAAGGTAGGAAGCAGGTAGTGGAGGACTTTTTAAAAGCCAAATAGATCCTAGAGGTGATTGGAAGTCACTAGAGTCAATTGAACAGGGGAATGACAAGATCAGACTTGCTTTTTAGGAAGATCACTTTGACAGCTTCTACTCTGAGTAGAAGATGGACTAGTGGGGAGAAATTGGTTTCTGGGAGACCAACTAGCAATCAATTGCAATAGTCCTAGGGTGAGGTGATGGGAACCTGTACCAAGATGGCGGTGGCAATATCAGAGGAAAGAAGCGGGGTATATATGAGAGATGCTGCAAAGGTAGAAATGGTAGGCCTGGGCAATGGATTGGATATGGGGGATGGGAAGAGAGAGTAAGGAGTTGAAGATGACACCTAAGTGGTGAGCATGAGTGAGTGGGAGAATGATATTACCCTTCACAGTAATAGGGAAGTTAGGAAAGGTTTGGGGAGAAAAATGATGAGTGTGCTATGCTGTGCTCTCTCTGGTTCTGCTAGTCCTCAAGAGGCAATACTGTGAAGTAGAAACAAAATTGAACTGGATGTCAGGAGACCTGAATTCTAGGCCTGACTCTTGAACTTGAGACTAGAAAACTCATTTTACCTCTCATATCCCTTCTCAGTTTCCTCATCTATTGAATGAGAGTATGGTATTAGACTGGGTGATTTTAGGAGTTCTTTCTAACTCTTTCATTCTATGATTTTTAGATACTCAGAATAGCTTTCTGGCTCTTTCTCCTCCCCTTCTCCTCTGTTAATCCATCAATAATAACAGTAGTAGCAGTAGAAGCTAGCATTTATATAGTACTTCAAGGCTTGCAAAACACTGTACAAATATCATTTTAAAATTACTTTATGAACATTATCTCATTTGATCCTCACGGCAACCTCGGAAGATAGAAGCTCTTATTATCCCCATTCTGAAGATGGGAAACTGAGGCAGACAGAGGTCAAGTGACTTGCCCAGGGTCACACCACCAGTAAATGTCTGAGGCCACATTTGAAATCAGGCCTTCCTGACTCTAGGTCCAGCACTTTTCCCACTGTGCCACCTGGCTGCCTCACAGTTAATCCTATTACTTTTCTCAGAAGTCTCCCAGGTATTGCAGATTGTTAGCAATTTAGGCTTCAAACTAGCAACAAGTATGGTGAAACATCATGACATAGCAGATAGGTTCTAATCTCACCTTTGACGTTCATTATCTCTATGTCCATGGCAAATCTCTCTTAATCTCTCTGAGTCCTTATTTCCCCATCTGTAAAATGGGAACAATAATACCTGTCATATTTGCCTCCCAGAGTTGTTTGAGATGATGAATAAGACTCAAATGAGATAATACACATACAGTGTTTTACAAACTTGAAAGCATACATGTCAGTTACCAATATGTATTAATCACTCACAGTGTCCTTAGCCCTTGACTAAAAATACTGGCTCTGATCCTTGATCATGATGATGCTGGTAGTGATAATGATACAAAATGTATGATTAAATTATAAATTGTGTATTACAGGGACAATTTGTGCCTCTTCTAAATCCAACTTCCCTATGAGGCTTTCTCTAACCCTTTTATTGATAAAACCTTAGACTTTATATAACATTTTGGCTTATACCTCAATAATGTACACACACAAATATATATAAATATATGTATGCAGATGTATTTATATATGTGTGTGTGTGTTTGTGATTTTAGTGATTACTAGCTGTGTGACCCTGGGCAAGAAGTCACTTCACCCTGTTTGCCTCAGTTTCCTCATCTGTAAAATGAGGTAGAGACGGGAATTGGCAAACCACTCCAGTATCTTGGGCAAGAAATCACCAAATGGGGCCATGAAGAGTTGAATGTGAATGAAATGACTGAACAACAACAACAACAACATGTTTGTGTCTCATCCCACTATTATACAGTATGCTCCACGAAGTCAGAGACCCTGACCTAATTCAACTTTGTATCTTCTGGATGTCTATTTATATATACGGGAGATCCTTAAAGTGTTGCTGTGGAGGCAGTTAGGTAGCAGAGTGGACGGGGTCCTGGAAAAACCTAGAGCTCAAATCTGGACTTGGACACCTCCTAAATGCATGACCCTGGACAAGTCATTTAACCTCTGTTTCTCTCAGTTTCCTAAACTAGCACTTGCCTCCCAGGGTTGCTGTGAGTATCAAAGGAGATAAAATTTGTAAAGTGCTTATAAAATTCCTGGCACATAGTAGATGTTTGTTTCCTTCTTGTTAAAGGTGGGAGAAGTCATCATCATCACCATCATCATCACTGTCATCCTTCTTGTTAAAGGTGGGAGAAGTCATCATCATCATCATCATCACTGTCATCATTGCTGATATTTATTGTGTTTTAAGGTCTGTAAAACACTTTGTGTACATTATCTCATTAACTTCTCAATTATTATACCCATTTTGCAGAAGATTAAACTGAGACTCAGAGAGGTTGTGACTCCCCCAGGGTCATACATCTGATAAGTTTCAGAGGTCATAATTGAGCCCAGATTTGCCCTACTCCAATTTCAGCACTGCTTCCACTCTGTCTGCTTCTGAATGACTGTGGACTGGAATAATTGGGGAAGTCTTCATGGAGGTAGTAGGATTTGAACTAGACCTTGAAAGATGGGCAGGATTTGGATAAAGAGGTGGAGAGAATGGCATGAATAAAGCTACAGATAGGGGAATGGACCAATGGGCATGGTGATAGATGTGTCAGAGAAGAGACAGACTTAGGAAGAGTAAAGAATGTAGGCTAGGGAACCAATGGAGAAGATAGAATTGAAGGTAGCCATGTTTCACTAGGACAAAAAAGAATTGCTGGGGGTAGCACTGGCAATGTAGGGAATCATTCAGACGTAGAAGGCATCACGTCATGAGAGGGGAGTGCTCTGACTCTCATCCCTTTGGGTGTTATGGAAGGGAAGTCGAATTAGGAGGGGGGCACCATGATGATGGGACCCTGGGAATAGAACAGTGAGAGCTAGGTTGGGGATAGTGAAGGAGAGAAGGGAGCAGTGGCCATGGTAAGGAGGAAATGTGCCACTGGGGGAGGAAGAGCACCCAGGACAAAGCCTCATTCTTCCTCCACTAGTCACACCTTTGACTAGAGACATAGGTTGGGATGAGCAGCCTTCACCCTGCAGATCTCACTTGCCATGCTTCCAGACAGATCACCTACCTTTCGCATTTTGCTTCTTACAACATAAAGCAAATTCTTATCCTCTGTCAAAGCTTTCTAAACCCAGATCATCTCTCCAGCGCCATTGATCCCTTTTGCAGAATGTGATTAAACCCTCATTTCATAAAGAGGAAATGAATGGCTGTAATCAGATACAATGTTTGCTATGCTAAACAAAATGAGCAAAAAAAAAATTCAGCTAGGCTATAATTATGGGTGTAATATTTCAGCCCATTAGCAAAAAATATCTCAAAAACCTGCTGCCCCACCCTCTCGGCTGGAAAATCTGATGCAACTCTGGCAAATGCAAACAAAGTGAACCCAGCACTGTATCAGGCTGTTAATTAATTGCTTATACAATTTTATGTTGATGGCAACAGGGACTGCCAATTCTATTGCTTTGGTTGTGTGGGCTGGAGGGAGCTGTCTTCTCCACCCAGGTGGCATTGCTGTGGAGGCTGATGTAGTCCCAGTGGCCCCCACCCTAGCCTGGCAGCCTCCCTCCTGAAGGGAAGTTCCATGCC